ACACACACACACACACACACACACACACACACACACACACACACACAAACGACAGAGAACCTTGGCTGGGTCAGCAGGCTTTCTGCGGGAGCATCAGGGGAATGACCTGTATCTCTCAGCCTCTGGGGAGCCTTAAAACTGAATAAGCCCCAAGTTCTTGGCAGGAGACTCAGCCTTCAGTCGGAGGAAGCATGCTGAGCTCAGGGCCAAGGGTTACACTGGCACCCTCTGGGATAAGGGGCATCACAAGGTCATCTTATAGGATAGGTTCCCTCTCTAGGCCTCCAACTCTTTGAACCTGCTGGGCAATACCCAGCAAACTCCCAAGGATCATTCTCCCCTGGCCCTGCTGACCACAGGAGGCCTCAGTAGGGGGCCTTGCCAGCCCTGATGCTCAGCCCTTCAGGGTCTGGCCCCAAGCTGCCGTTTTGATTTACTTCCTGACAGCCAGGCCACAGCCGCATCCTCGCCCTGAGTCCAAGCCCTCCCTATTCCATATGACACATCCGGTCACGAAGGATTCCGAGTTTGTCATAACTCATCCCTAGGCTGGGTCCTCTTCAGCACAGGCTGTGGGTTTTGGCTTGGGTTCTATGTTGCCTTCCAAATCGGCAGTCTCTCCGCATGGCCGCCAGAAGCAGGAGGCCGCCTGTCAGGCGCAAAGAGGGCCAGCAGCTGGCAGGCCCCACCTCTGCCTGGGAGTTAAAGGAAGTGAGGGAATGGGGGGGGCCGCTACAAGCCCACATCCTGATTGATCCTGTACTTCATGTCCAAATTGCACCGAAATGTCAAGTGGTATCCGCTCTCAACCCAGCCCGGGGAGTCCCTGACTCCCTGATGGAGGACATGGATGACCTTTACGTGCTGGGTCTCTGCCCAAAGCTCTCCTTCCCACCCATCTTCACACTGCACCTAGGCCCCTCGTACCAAAGCTGTGTGCCTCCCACCTTCTTCGGTGCTTTGTCACAGTCTCCCAACACTGCCTCCGTCACCAGAAAGGTTTCCTTGGCTACTCTGGCACCTGCCCAACATTTTATGCTTGAAAATCTGCCATCTGGTACTCAACCAGACAAAACTCAGTATTGCCGTTCAAGAGATCTGTATATGTCTGGACTCCAAAGAGGACATCAAACCTCTGCAGCTAGAATCACCTCTCACAGGATGTACCCTAGGCAGCTGTGGCTCCACTCCAGGCACAGGACTAAACTCCAGACCTGTCACCCTGTGACAGGAGCGTGGAAAGCTGGGCGTTATCTCCCTCCCTCCAGGCCTGCCACCTCCCCCATCCTTCGCTCCAGCTTACCTCATCCAGCGTCCTTGAAGTCTCATGCACCTGGGACAGGCCACATCCGGGAGGCAGTGCAGGAACGAGGGGTCTCCATTAGTAACCAGAAGCACTGGCTGGGACAGAGATGGCGCCCACAGAAAGCCCTCCCACCAAGGGTGAGCATGCTGGCTACCTCACCACATCCTTCAGGTGCTCCCATATAAAGAAGGGTCAATGGACCATGAGAAAGTCGGATCCTCTCCAGAAGTAACAGGAAAGAGCATCAGACAGGCAGTGGGAGGAACCTGGGACCCTACGTAGCCGCCCCCAAGAGGAAGTCAGGCCACTGGCAAAGCTCTGGAACTTTATTGTGGACTTGGGGGGGGGGGAGGTCATGGAAAGCTACCCAGAATCCCCAGGACTAGCAGAGCTGAGGGCCCCAGCTCTGTCAGAAGAGGGTGGGGAGAAGGGTGAGGCCATGGCTTGTGTGGTTATAACAGCCCAGGAAGCTCCATCTGAGCCTGCTCTATGATGGAACAAGGAAGCAAATAAGCCAAGACACTCAACACAGGCTTTCGATGGGGACTTCTAGGAAAAGAAAGGAGAGAGGCAGGAAAAGGATCAAGGGCACATGCAAGCAGAGGAGGGGCAGGGTCACATGAGCTAGGCCTATAGGGTTAACTGCCATTCTGGAACTTCCCGTGCATTAGAAGGTGCGTGGGGCTCAGTGAGGGACGGGGTGCTTGGCCTCGATCCTCGGAGCTGGCCTGGGTAGAAGTAGACCTAGAAAATGGCATTTCTAACAATACTAGGCTGCTCCCAAACACACTCTCTGTGTCAGGGCCTGAGCCCACGGTCCCTGGTTTGCATGTTAAGGGCTCTAGGCAGTATTGGAAGAGCCCAAGCCTAGGTCGCATCTCCAGAGGCTGTGGTTAAATCCACCATGGTGAGTCTGATGCCCAGCCCAGCCCAGAGCCCATGGATGAATGGTTCTGGGGTGTTTGCAGTCCAGAACTCATGATGCTCATCCATCTTTAGGCAGGTGGTACCTGGGCTGGTCATGGTGATACTGAGTAAAATGAGGACTTCAGCCCCTGAGGCCACACTGAGCCATCTTCTTCCTGAAGGAGCTTCCTGGGCTCTCAGGTAGGCTAACACAGGACTTAAAACTCCCTTTCTAAACCTAGAAGGGTCTGCAAACAGAGAGACTAGAAAGAAACATGAACAACACTTACCTCAAAGCCAGGAATATGATGGATGGCTGGCTAGAGTAGAAAAAAGACAGTGTTGGTTCCCTGCTCATCGGCCATCCCAGACCCTTCATTGCCACCTTGGCACAACACCCATAGACTGTGTCAAGTAGCAGACAGGCCAGGGATACAGGCTGTCCCAAGCTGAAGGGGCAGGAGGCTATGTCCTCCACACACGTTATCCAAGGAGGCCACTGGAGCAGCTTACGAACAAGGTCTATGTAGAACCCATGGCAAGCCTGAGGACAGCACTCAAAACAGCCAGAGCCTGGCCATGACACAGCCAGGCCAGGATTCTGCCCTCATCTATCCCCAGTACCCATTCACTATACCTAAGGCCCTTTGCCCCAACTACACAGGCTCCTGGAGTCTGCGATGGGAAATGACCCAGGAGGAAAAGCTGTCATCCTAGAAGCCAACATTCTACCCTCAGACGGATTGTGTCCCAACTTGAAGATCAGAACGGATGGGCAGCGCAGGCATCCGTGAGAGTAAGTTCCTGCTGAGCTGGGCATGTGGACAGGTCCCGCCACCTCTAGCCCGTACCCCAGTGGGGCCTCCCAGGCTTGGACAGCGGCCAGCCTTACCTTCTCTCTCTGAATCAGCTCGAATGCTGCCAGAAGCTCACCAGCAGGCTGACTGCCCCTGGTCAAGGGGAACCAGGCCAGGCGGGGCATCCGTTCCAGGCTTGGCTGACAGATACAGCGACCCAGGAACTCGTCAGCACCCTAGACCAGAGTAGACAGAGAAGAATCGGTGTCTTCCCCCTAGCCCCTGAGATACTAGGCCTGTATCCTACCTCCTGGGTTAGAGAGAGCCCCAGAAGTTAGGGCAGTCACTCAGGTGGAATGGCAAGCACTGCCTTCTTAGGGGCACTGTGAGGGCAAGATGTAAGTGGCCTCTAACATTAGGGTGGAATTCCTGAAACTGTTGGGAAGTCTTTCTGTATGTCCAACTAGTATTCCCCATGCTTTTGCTTAACCCATTTCTGAGCCCATCAGAGACCAGGGAGAAACAGACTGCCTATAGCTTCCTTAACACCCTCATTTGATATGCCAGGGGCTCCTGTATCATTTAACCATTTGTTTTAACCCTAACATTGTCTCCATTTTTCAGATGAAAACATGATCTTGCTTACCAAAGTGGGTTTTACTAAAATGATATCTTTACCTCCCCAAATCTTGAATCTAGATTCCTCCTCTACATTTGATGCCCACAAGACAGAGTCCAACTCCCCTCAGTCACCGAAAGTCTGTTCTTCCTAGCCTACCTCCTTGCCCTCTCCTCCTCTGCTGCAGCCCTGGCCTCACCCAGCTCCTGCTCCCATGCCTTTATGCCGGTGCCCACCTCTCCCTACCTAAGTCACCGCAGACAGACTATCCATAGCTCACACGGCAGTCAGCAGAGCCAGGCTTCAGACAGACGCTGCTGTGGGCAGCACAAGCCCTCAGCCCTTGCCCCCGAGAGGAGTTGGGAGACAGCCCTGACTGTCCCCAACATCCCGATGAGCCAGCCTGGAGTGGCTACCAGCTCCAGCATATACACCACTAGTGAGTGACAATCCCCAATCATCACTTGGTGCAGACAGTAGTCACAGCACTGGGAAGGGTCTGGGGCTCCTCAGGCAGGGTGTGACCTCCTTAGCTGCTGAGTCCAGCAGAGGGGTGGGGATGGCGGGGCAGCAGAGCTCAGGGTAACGGTAACTTTAGATGCTCAATTGGCACAAATCCCTGGAGCCACCACAACCCCAGGACACACCATAGTTCTCCCTTGCCTGCCAAGCATGAGAAGGGCAGCTTGGAGCAACATCTCCAGAAGATTCTTCTGAAAGAGTGCCAGGGACAGGGCAACCGGGCCCCTGCCTGAGTAAGTGGCAGTGAAATAGAGGAGAGAGGTACACGTCAGAAGGCTTGTCTAGAAAGAGTTGTCGTGGCTGAGTGAGCAGGCCTCCAAGGACGCTGGCCCTGCCTGGGAACCTACCCTCTTGCCTCGCACCAGTCCAGAGCCTCCCAGCCCCCAGTTCCTTCCTCCTCCTGCCCCAGAGGCACCAGGAAAGCACTCTTCCTTCCCTGTGGCCCCAATGACAGTCTATCCAGTTGCTCCCTGTCCTTGAGCTCAGCTTCTTCTGGAGCTCCCAGGTCAGACCTGTGCTGGCCACCGCCAGCCTCTGTCCATGGGGCAGGGATCTTCCACAGCATTACGTCCCTCCTACCCCTGGCTGCCACACTGTCTCAGGACCTCTGACATGTCCAGATGGCAACTATTCCTGGAGACATCTTCAACCACCTCCTCCTTGCCACTGCCCAGAGCTGGCCTCTCTACCCAGTCTTCTTTTTCTGGTACCACATGGCCTCTCTTACCTAATGCAGCATTCTGACCCCAAGCCCCCAGCTCCCTTCATTCTCTCTCCTCATCCTCCGACAGCCCCCACGTTTGCTAGGACGCCCTTCTACGTTCCCCTCCCACATTGTTTCAGGATTTGTGTCTTCACCACAGCTTCCCCTGGCAGTTTGCATGGCACTGTCTTAGACTGGAGCATAAGCCACCTTCAGGCTGGGGAGATTTTTGTTTTGGTTTGTTGTTTGTTTTTAGGCAAGGTCTCAGATAGCTCAGTTTGGTCTCAAACTTGATATGTAGCTAAAGAGGACCTTAAACTCCTGATCCTCCTGCCTCTACCTCCCGAATGCTGGGATTACAGGCAGGTGCCGCTCTGCCCGGTTTATGCGGTGCTAGGGATCAAGTCCAGGACTTGGTGCATGCTAAGCAAGGAGCCCACCAGTGTGTCATGTGCACAGCACACCCCTGTTGCAGTTACTTACAGAATTTAAAGTTCAGTTTCTCCATTTGGTACAATTGTATTTCAAGTGTTCCCCAGCCACAGGAGGCTGGTGTCCCCTCCCAGCCCACACAGCCAGAAAGCATAACATTACCACAAGAAATTCTGTGGACAGCACCGTGGAAAGGCCATGCTTGTACCACAGGGCCAGATGGAACTCCAGACACTCTGTCTCACCTAGAGGGTTCTTCATACTCTGAGTGTCTCAGCTCCCAACTAGAAAGCAAACCTCAGGCAAGGGGCCACTCAGCCCATTATAGCAAGTGCTTGACTAATAATTGTGGGGAGAAAGGACAAAGTAGAGCTGGAGAAAAGCCATACTCCTGATCCGAAACTCTGTGCCCTTTCTAGGTCTGCTCCCCTCTCTGCATTTGATTAGCCATGTCCGCCAAGATCATGGCACAGGTGCCAGCAATCTATTTTGCAAGTCCTCTACACTCATTTCAGGGAGCCGTCAGGGAAGGCCACCAGCCCAAGCCTTGGGGACCCAACACTCACAACAGGGTCCTGCAGACACGTAACAAAGGGGCAGGAAAGCACACTCACGTAAGTGTCGTGGTCATACAGCTCCACCACAATGCTGGGCGGCTGCTCTGCGATGCTGGCTAGCTCACCAAAGATCTCGATCTCATAGAATATGAGGGTTTGATCCCAGGTGGGGTTCAGGGTATTCTTCTCCACCACTGTCTTCTGGCTTTGATGCAGGAAGGAGACGATGGCGTAGGGATCTGTGTTGGGCAGCGAGGAAGAAGACTCAGCCGGTGGCTCGGGAGTCACAGGGCCACAGAGCCAGAGCATGGCTGTGGCAGCCCGCCATTCGTAACAACATGAAGGCCCGAGGCCATCTCTGAGGCCAGATACAGCCACATGGACACGGATGGCCTGGAACCTCAAACCTTCCCTTTCCCACTCCTATCTGGCCATTGGGGCAGGGTGTGCTGAAGAAAGCGGGTGCCCAAGTGGCCCATTCTTTACTCCAACAGGTAGTTCCAGAGTGCCTTCTCCGTGCCACACTGGGAACTAAGACACTGGGAGCTGGGGACACAATCAGAGCGAAGCATAAAATACCTTCCCAAACCAACAACAGTTCGAGTGAGATTGGGAGGCTAACTACAAAGGGCAGGACATATGTTCGTGGTAGATCTGGGTTCTTTGAGGAAGGGGGGTGGGGCAAAGGTGTTAGGTTCTAGGAGCCCCGGGATGCCATCAGTAGGACATGACAGTACCTTTCCCTAGCGGCTCACTGCAGTCGCCACATAAAGAACAAACAGGAGACGCACCGTGATAGTATGAGTCAGCTGGGAGGCTACTGCACTGGTACAGACAGCAGTGGCGCTGTCTTAGGTGGGTGCAGAGTCAAGAGCTGCCAGGCAGTGCGTGATGTGAGCATGACTCAAAATTCCGAGTATCGAGTCACTTTCTCTGCCTTGTCCAAAGTCAAGTTGGTATGATTGGAGCAGATCCTAGAAAGGTGGTCCTCAAATGTGGGGGTACTGTGGAATCACCTAGAATGTTTTCACAGTTCTCTTGCACATACAGCAGAGCTGGGGGGATAGGGTCCTTGTCTTTCTAGCAAGTTCCAGGCAATATTGTGGGAAACACTTGGACACCAGTGTGAGCTCTATGAAACGTGTGTGCATGGTTTAGAAGAGTACTTGAGGGAGGGTGCTCTTCTATCTTCTCTCCAGAGGACATCATAGGGGCAGGGTCCCTATTCCAAACGACAGCTGCCCAGGGCATATGAACAAGCAGCTGGCAGCTTGTGCTGCATGTCTGAGAAGAGGCACAGGGCCCTAAAACCCCCGTTCAGGAAGGGACAGCAAGAGGGGCTGGCACCGAGTGACGGAAGAAGATGTGGGAAGGTGGGGCAGGAGCAGGACCTCCGCTCTGGGTACACAGCAAGGTCCACTTGTGATGGCCACTCAAGAGCTAGTTGCAAGCGCGAGGGCATCTGCATCACGGCCAGAACCACACTGACCTAGTGATGGACACCAAACCTGAGCCCAGCCCGCTAGGTCAGGTCGCCCTCAGGAGGTGAATCACGGAGGGCATCCCCTGCGGTTCTGGCTTTGAACCTGACTCTGTGGTTGGAAGAGTGCAATGGGATGCCCTTAGCAAAGAGACACTCCCCAGGGGAGTGCCTGCCTGGCATGAGACTCCCACATCCACGCACAGGCCCTGGCAGGCTGGCCCCGAGCCCTCTTCCTTCTGCCCCTGGCAAGGCCTGGCGGCGTCTGTGCGTTTAATGAAACCGTCTGGCTGTGATACCATCAGCTCCAAGCTCGGCAGAGAACCTCTCCCAGTTCCAGTAAGGGAAGGAGGGCGCGTTCCGATAAATAAAACCATATTAGAGAGCCAGCGAAAAAGCCTCTTTTGTTCCCACCCCCCGCCCCCCTATGCTTCCCAATGCTTTATTTTTATAAGCGTGCGGGCCCCAGACCGACCGCGTTTACACAAAGGTCACAATTGCACATTGTAGCGGCCATGCACGCTGTATTGCTGTTGGCAGCACCCCCACGCGGGCCTCCGAGCAGGCTGGCTCTTTCCAGCAGCTCCAGCAGCTCAAGCAATGAGCTCAGCGCTGGGGGACAAAGAGGGGCAGCTCACAAACAAAACTCACCCAGACCCACACACGCGCACCCCACCCACCCACGGGAGGGACAAGGACAACAAAAGCATTGTAAAGAACAGGCCTGGAGGCCCTGGGCCTCAGACACTGGGCTACTGTGTGCCCAGGCCCAGCCTCCACCACCACCCCCGCCCATCTACCCATTCCCACCCCTGCAAAAGACATAAGCGGCAGCAAGGTGGCCAGATGGACTCACAGACACATCTTCTGTCAGGGAAGCAAAGAGCAAGGGCTGGGGTGGGGGTGGAGGCAGAGTCCAGAGTCCAGCCAGCCTGAGTTGCTGCAGGCCCCAAACAGCAGCCCCCGAGGGCATGTTTAGACAGAGCTCTCTGAGGACCACAAGCTGCCTTCAGGAGTCTCCAGATATAGGCTACTTGAGGATGCCACCAGCTTCCTTCACAAGACAGCCAGCAACCTGCCACCAAGCCCCGGACAGGACAGATTTGTGTGGGTCCAGAGCTTTGCACCAGGATGTTGGGCTATCCCTGCTGGTTGGGCCTTCCTGAGGCCTCAGATCACACTCGCATTCCTATCAACCAGCCAGAGTTCCAGAGCAGAGGCTAGGAGTGACTGCAGTTTCCTCTCTGCCAGAGAGGGAACCGGAGCCAGAACACTAGCCTGGGATCCCAGGTGGCTGGGGCTGGCCTGAGTCCTAGTCCAGTGCTCTATGCCATCCCCATCGGAAAGGAAGGAGAATGTACCCCAGAAATCAAGACAATGCAAGCTCAAACTATGCTGTAGCAATATTGTTACTACAAAATTAAAAACGAGGCCAGGTGTGATGGCCTGCCTGTGGGAACTGAGGAAGAGAGAACTGGGAGTTCAAGGCCACCTTTAGATACACAGTGAGTTCCAGACCAGCCTAGGCAACACGAATCTCTATCACCACACAAAGTAAAACTTTAAGAATAAATTAAATGAAAATTTAGAAAAAATGATTAAAATTATTAAACTCAGTGTTGGCAAGCAGCAGGTAAAATGAGTGCTCTTTCCTACTGGAAGCTAGTTAGCAGCCCTTCAGAAAGCAGCTGGGCAGGACGCCCTGGGAACATAAAACTGTAACATTTTCCTCACACTCCTGGGCATCATCCAAATTAGCCAAAGACTCTAGGTCCAAAGGCGTCACTACAGTGGCCCTGGTCACATCCCTCATTCAGTGCTCATGTGGTGACTGGCCTCTGCGCAGTGCCTGAGATGCAGAGATAAGGGAGACAGACACCAGCCAAGCTCTTGAATGTGACCACCCCAGTCAAGAGACAAAGTGGCAAAAGTAACAGGGAACATTCAAGTGTTGGCCAGTGCTGCCTGGCCATTCCCAGTCAGCTTCCCAAAGCAGATTCTCCCACCGAGTCTAAATAAATAAATAAATAAATAAATAAATAAATAAATAAATAAATAAATAAAT